CGGGGCGGGGGGAAGGTATTACACCAAAAACGTGAGTCAAAAACCCCTCCAGCCCTAGGAACCAAAGGGGGGGGGGGGGGGGGGGGGGCGGGGAAGGGACACTGAGGGGAGGCGCCGGGGGGTCTGGGGGAGGGGGCGGGAAGATGAGTCGATGCCCCCTCGAGGGCTGCTCTGAGCCCGGCCCTTGCCACAGGCATTTTGTGCCGTCAGACCCATAGCACAGAGGAGGGTCCGAGACTCAGGGGGGAGGACGCCTGCTCAGCGCCACACACATTGCCCATCACTGAGCTGGAGCCAAACCCGTGCCTCTCCCCGTCCCTGGAGAGGGGCTGACTCCCCGCTTCCCTCACACGGAGAAATAACAAGCCGGGCTGCGGAGGAAGGAGCTGGGGCCTCCTACCAGCTGCTGGACTAAGGGCTTCACAACCCCACAGGGTGGCTACTCCTGCTGTTCCCATTTTAGAGATGGGAACACAGAGGCCCAGGGGTTTTTAGCGAGCAGTGGAACCAGGTCTTGGACGTGGGCCAGAGACGGTGATCTCGGCCGGATGCTGCACTGCTCTGCCCTGCACCCCCCCCACCCCACTCACCCAGAGGATCTGGGCCCTTTAGGCCGCAGGCGTGGGTGGTCCTGGCCCCTGCGGTGCCCAGAGGGCAGTGGAAGCAGGGCCTTGGCTGCTGCAGGGACCTCGGGTGGCCTGGCCGGGGTCCTACAGCGGCCACAGCTCACACCAAAGCCTCAGCCAGCAGCCCAGCTCCCCGGGGCCTGAGCCCGCCTCCTGGAATGAGTCCACCCAGAACTGGGCGGCAGAAAAGCCAGCATCGCTGAGACCACAAGCGTGCCTGTCTGTTTTCTCAGCGGGAGGCGAGCCCACCCGCCTGAGCCAGCCCAGGTCCCCGAGGCGGCGAGGCGAGCCCACCTGTGCGGTTCTCGTCAAAGAAGCTCGTCTCCTGAGACACCAGCGAGCGGAAGAGGCAGTTCCGGAGGCGAATGTTCAGTCTGGCAAATATGAGGGTAAAAATGCCGCCCCGAATACCTGCGGCAAATGAGCTAATTGCAGATAAGAGATGTTATACATGGCACGGCGTCCTTCCGGCAACCGACGACCCGCCCGCCGCCCTCCCGCTGCTGGCAGGCCCGGGCCCACCCCTGACCCACTCCCAGGGCTCCGTCCCCCACTGGAGCCCCCAAGGTGAGAGCGAAGAGGGGGCTGTGTTTACTGGGGGCCAGGACCCGACTTCGCCAGCCGGACCCCTCAAGGGCGCACAAGGCTGGCCCTGGAAAACCAGACGGGGGAGCCCTGGAGGAGGGTGTGGCTCAACCAAGTGGACATGGGTGCTGAGCTAGTTCAGTTGTTGGTTACTATGGGGACCAGCTGAGGGACAGGCCCACCAGCGGCATTTCTGGGGCCCCTCTGGCTCGTTTCCCTCCCCCAGGAGCTGCCCGACCTCTGCCCCGCTGTGGCCTGGGGGGCGGGCGTGGCGGGAGGGCTACCTGCCAAGGGCCAGCAGGCACATGACCACGACGGCTGTGCTGAACTGCTCCATGCTCTTCTGGATGACGATGCCGTCGATGGCGCGGCCGGTGTAGTAGGGCAGGAACGTCTCTCCTGCGGGAGACGGGGCTCAGGGGGCGTCTGCAGCGGGGAGCCCGCACCCTTCCTCCCGAGCCCCCCACAAACTCTCCTCTCCCCATGGCGGGGGCTGAGGGGCCGTACATGCCGAATGCCCCCACTTTTCAGAGAAGAGCCACAGGAGGCGCGGGGACTTGGATCTGAACCGAGTGTGTGGGAATTAATCACAGCTACCAGGCACCCGCCACGGGGCCACGGGGCCACGGTGCCACAGGGCCACGGAGTCACGGGGCCACAGAGTCACAGGGCCCAGGTGGCATTGCATTCCCTGCATGCAGACTCTGAGGTTGGCCGTTGGCACCCCACCTCACAGCTGAGGAAAGTGATGCTGAGATGGCGCTCGCTCAGGCTCCGGGACGTCAAAGCTCACGGCTTTCCTGCTGGCGGGGGGTTCGAGTCTGCATTCTAGAGCCTCGGGCGATGCTGGTATCCTGGCTGGGAACGGCCCCGCCCCTCCTGGTGGGCACTTTAGTTTGCCGATTATGTCCTACCCATTTGTCTTGTATCCTCACAACAACCCTGGGCAGATGTGGGGAGGGGATGTACAGAGGGGGAACGGGAGACTCAGAGGGGCTGAGTAATTTGCCAGAAGTCACGCGGCAATTAAGAGGAAGGGCCAGGACACACATCCAAACCAGCTTCCAATCTGGGGGGATGTCTTTCCTTGTCCCTTCCCTCCCCCAAATCCGGGTGCCCACTCGCATTCTACGGGAACGATGGGCAGGGAGTGGAGCGTGGTCAGACCAGGCTGGGTCCCCTGTCTTCAAGGCCGGTCTTTCCCGAGGCCACAGCCTGGCTCGGGGCTGGGCATACAGCCGGCGCTCAATAAAGGTCAGTGAATGAATCCTGGGCGGCTCTACAGGACTGGCTCGGGCGGGACAGGGAGGCCTTCTGTGGGGTTCTGGCGCCCTCTGCTGGTGGTGGGATGGGGACCATAAGGTGGCAGCCGCCACGGAGTCTCCGGCCGCCGCTGTGGAGTCTGCCTCAGCTTACCCCCGGGGAGGAGAGGCATCTGTGAGCTCCAGCAGCACTGACCGCAGCCAGCACCAGTGAAGGCCAGTGATCACACAGGTGTTCACGGAGCCCTTACGGGTGGGGCGCCGGGCTAAGCACACCCCTTGTCCATCTGCACAAGAACCACACGGACCTCTCCAGCCGGCAACCCCGCGGCGTCTCCAGAACCCGACCACTCTTACTGCCCCTCCTGCCCCCCGCGTCCACGCTGCCGGCCTTGCCTGGGCCACCCCAGCAGCAGCTCCTGGCTCCCCCTGCTCCGCCCTCCCGCCCATCAGCTCAAAACAGTCCGACGGCTCCCATCGCATCCAGGGTAACTGTCAAAGTCCTTACAGGGGCCACAGCGCCCTGACCTGACCTCATCTTCCACTCCCCCCCCCCACCCCCAACACACACACTCCCTGCTCCAGCTACGCCGGCCTCTTTGCTGTCCCTTTAACAACCCGGACCTTCCTGCTCGGGACCTTGTACAGGCTGCTCCTGCCGGGAGCACTGTCATCCCACATATCTGCTCCCTCGTCTATTTCAAGTCCCCATAGTCCTACAGGTGTGGTCTTCTTCCCATTTCGCAGATGAGGAAACTGAGGCTGAGAGGCTAAGTCACTTGTCCAAGTTTATGCAGTTGCGTTGCCATGAAATTCATCTTCAAGAATCTCAATTTAGCCCTGGCTGGTCTGGCTCAGTGGATAGAACGTCGGCCTGTGGACTGAAGGGTCCCAGGTTTGATTCTGGTCAAGGGCACATGCCCGGGTTGCGGGCTCGATCCCCAGTGGGGAACGTGCAGGAGGCAGCCGATCAACGATTCTCTCTTATCACTGATGTTTCTATCTCTCTCTCCCTCTCCCTTCCTGTCTGAAATCAACAAAAATATAATTTTAAAAAAAGAATCTCAATTTAATAGGAGATACTCAAACGAACCTTTTTCCCCAATGGGCAGTGTTTCTTTTAGAATATGAGGCATCAGAAAAAGCTGGGCCCTCCTGGGTGCTTGTTGATTGAAGCATAATTGATAATAATCACAGCACCTAACTTCTACGAGCACCCACTTTTCCCAGGCACCATGCTTCATCTGCCTGAATTCTCTCAATAACTCGGTGAACCCCCATTTCCGGATGAGGCACCGAGGCTTGGCCAGGTCACGCAAGCTTGCCTGAAGTTAGCAGGGGCGTCGGGGGCCGGGTCAAGTTCGAGCCTTCCCCTCGGCCCAGTCCTGCAGGTGCCCACACCTGCTCAGCTGTACCAGGACGTCGGTGACCCCGAGGACACGCCAGCTGACAACAGGGCCCCGGCAGGGGCGGGAAATGGGGTCCTGGGGCGGCCGCTGCCCACACGGGCAGGATGGTCACTTGTTCATTCACTCAGGGAGCCTGCCTCTGGCCGGGCATCGGGGCGTCCGGGGCGAGTCAGGCCCGGTGCCGGCCCCCGAGGGGCTCAGAGTCTTGAGGGGAGGCAGCAGGGTGGACTCCTGATTCTCGCGTCACCAGTGCTGTTACTAAGGCGCAAAGGGCTTCTCAGAGGAGGGGACAGCTGGGCCTCGGAGCGTGAGTAGGAGAAACTATCTGGATACACGAAAAAGGTCATCCCAGCCGTAACCGGTTTGGCTCAGTGGATGGAGCGTCGGCCTGCGGACTGAAGGGTCCCGGGTTCGATTCCGGTCGGGGGCATGTACCTTGGTTGCGGGCACATCCCCAGTAGGGGGTGTGCGGGAGGTAGCTGATCAATGTTTCTCTCTCATCGATGTTTCTAACTCTCTATCCCTCTCCCTTCCTCTCTGTAAAAAATCAATAAAATATATTAAAAAAAAAAAAAAGGTCATCCCACCTGGCCCGGCTGGCCTCAGTGGTGGAGCGTTGACCTATGAACCAGCAAGTCACGGTTCAGTTCCCCGTCAAGGGCACGTGCCTGGGTGGTGGGCTTGATCCCCAGTTGTGGGGAGTGCAAGAGGCAGCCGATCAATGATCCTCTCTCATCACTGATGTTTTATCTCTCCCTCTCCCTTCCTCTCTGATATCAATAAAAATATATTTTAAAGAAAAAAGGGTGGTCCCCATACTCACAGGTGTTAATATTTACTGGGAGCTTTCCCTGTGCAGGAGCTGTCCGAGGTGTCTCAATCTATTAACTCGCTGACCCTCACACGCCCCAGTGTGATGGGTACTGTTATCCCATTTTACAGATGAGAGTCTGAGACAGAGAGGTTAAGTAACTTGCCTAAATCACACAGCGGTTAAGGGGCCGGGACTGAGAGGACGGAGGGTGGACAGTAAGAGGGAGGGGCTGCAGGACCGCGCCACCTCTGGGCTTTGCCTGTCCTCTCTGGGAATACTCTGGCTTGTGGCCACTCCCAGACTTTGTCCCTGTGAGTTGAACGGGTAATGACTCATCACAGCCAACATTCCTGAGCACCTACCGTGCCATCCTGGGCTTTGAACTTGACCTTTTCCTGTTTTTATTCCAGCTTTACAACATCGTGAAACAGGGACACGAACAATCCCTCCTCCAAACAAGAAGAAGGAGGGGGCTCTGCCGTGTTCGATGACTTGCCCACAATCACAAAGCCAGGGAAGGAGCAAGGCTGGGTAGCTCAGCTGGTTAGAGCCTCCTCCCAATACACCACAGCTGTGGGTTCAATCCCCGGTCAGGGTACATACACCAATCAACCAATGAATGATAAATAAGTGGAACAAGACATCAAAGCTTCTCTCTCTCCCCCCTTCCTTTCTCTCTCTCAAATAAACAAACAAACATAAATAAATAAATAAAAATAAGAAGACGGGGCTTGTACCCAGGCCTTGCTGGAGTGTGGCTTTCGAGCTGTTTGGACCGATAGTAGCAAATACATTTTACATCACACGGGCACACATCACTGAAACAGAAGTTCCACGAAACAATACTTAATCTCACCGCAGACAACCTCCTCGAACGGCCTTTTTTCCATTCTGCTTCGTGACAAAACATGCTTGGACTCAGAGCTCCCACTTCCAGAAATTTATCCTATTTATACCCACATTTATAGGAAATGTGCATGAACAGGGCTACTTCTTGTAAGAGAAAAAGACTCAAAACCACCCAAGAGTCCAACCGCAGGAGACCCAACTAAATAATGATGGTGTGACCACACAGTGGACTATTATGCAGCCAAATAAAAGAACAAGATAGTGATTGGAAAATTCCAGAATATATTGCTAAGTGAAAAAAGCAAGACACAAAACGTTGTTAAGAGGTGGAGCGAGTAACGTGTTGGTGTTCTTATCTGTCTGTAGCTGCGTGAGGAAGCACTGGGAGCATATACGGGTAATGAATCTACGAGTTAAGTGTTTTCCTGCCCACTTGGAAGATTCCGGAACCTTTTCCTCTAGCTAGCTCTGGGGCTCAGGGCAGTCAGAGGCAGCATTGGGAATGAAACTCTGTGTTTACCTTTTCACGTCAGTTTGGTGTTTGAACCACGTAAGTAAATGCTAAAATTTGAGAGGAAAGAGGAGGCGTCACAGGCCTAAGAAGCCCATTTCCTGGGTGCCCGCCGGGCCTGAGGGTGCGCACTTACCCAGAGCCGCGATGATGAGGAAGAAGGAGGCCGCCACCAGGAAGGCCAGGTCGGGCTTGGTGTAGGACAGCAGCTTCTGCAGCGTGGCCCCCGACGCCTGCTCCGACGCCGCCGGCTGGTCCTCGGCGGGGAAGCCCTCGGCCTCGGCCTCGGGGCCCGCCCCCGGCTCCAGGGCCTTGGCGCTCGGCCGCACCGTGGACAGCAGCCGCCAGAGCAGGAAGGAGGCTGCGAGCGAGATGTAGGTCCACACGAAGAGGGCCCAGAACCACGGGTCCCGGACCGGCTTGCGGACCTCGGAGAAGAGCAGCAGCTTCACCATGGCGTAGATGCCCACCAGGAGGCACACCAGGGCGATGACCATCCAGGAGGCCCGCAGCCGCCGGGGCCCCAGGGCGCTGTTCTTGGCCACGCCGATGGTGGCCCCCAGCAGCAGGCAGCTGCGGTACAGGCAGGCCGCCCACAGGTCCAGCACCGAGTCGAAGATGTTGAAGTGGCGGATGTCCTCCAGCAGGCTGCGGTCCAGGTGGCTGAAGATGTAGATGGCCGTGGTCATGCCGACGTCCGTGGTCATGAAGGCCAGGGTCACCACCACCGCCTTCCACAGCTGCATCCTGCTGGCTGGCTGGCGGGGGGCGGGGGGCCGGCACCGGGGGAGGGGAGCAGGCTCTAGCTCATGGGGGGCAATGCCATTGTCTGTGGGGTGAGGCCAGACCTGTTGGGGCAAAAGGGCGAGGGGTTCGGGTTTGCTGCCTCCTGGCTGTGTGACCTTGAGCAAGTCACTCGGCCTCTCTGAGCCTCAGTTTCCTCACCTGTAAAATGACAATGACAAGAGAAGGGTGCTGTGAAGATTCCGTTCATCCGAGGACTAGTTACTGAGCGCACCCTGGGGGCCAGACTCTGTTCTTTGTGTTGGGGATTTCACAATGAACAAAAATAACAAAGACCCCTGCGCTTGTAGCGATGACACATTCATGCTAGAACGGAGTCAGTAGATGATTTAGTATGTTAGGGATAGGCCGGGGGGCGAGCAGGAAGTGGGGTAGAGGAGGGAGGGCCATGGGGCTGAGGGGTGCCAGGGAGAACTGAGCTGTGAAGGTAATACTCGAGCAAGATTGAAAGAGGTGAGGGAGTCCACCACGTGGATATCTGGGAAAAGCATTTGGGGCGGGTGGAACAGACAGGGTCGGAGGCCTGAGGTCAGACTTTGCGGATGTGCTTGAGGGAGGCGAGGCGGCCCCACGAGGTCAGAGAGGTGAGGGGCCAGGGGTCTGGAGGACTTTGCAGATGAAGCTGAGATAAGCAAAGAGTACATACAGTAAATGGCTGCTGTTTGACTACAACTATTATTGCTGTTAATTTCTCTGAACCCGTTTCCTGATTTGTAAAACGTTAGCATGAACATCTGGGCACAGTGCCTGGAACGTGACAACCGCTGCTGGTTGTTACCACCGTATACAGTGGGTGCTTAATAAGTGTTTGTTCACGTCTCTCCTCCCCAAATAAACTTTTATCTTCTTAGACCAAGAGGGGGTGGCTGTAGGCCCTAGAGCAGTGATGGTGAACCTTTTGAGCTCGGCGTGTCAGCATTTTGAAAAACCCTAACTTAACTCCGGTGCCGTGTCACATATAGAAATTTTTTGATATTTGCAACCATAGTAAAACAAAGACTTATATTTTTGATATTTATTTTATATATTTAAATGCCATTTAACAAAGAAAAATCAATCAAAAAAATGAGTTCACGTGTCACCTCTGACACGCGTGTCATAGGTTCGCCATCACTGCTCTAGAGCAACCCAGGGACTTTGACATCTGCCCGGAAGTTTCCAGAATCTTGGCCCTCGCCCCCAGCCCTAGGCTCTTCTGGTTTTCTAGAGCTTGATGTCTGCTTTGTCTAGAGCACCTCCAACCGTGAGCCCTACCGGACTCAGCCAGGGCCTGGGAGGCCCCGGAGCTGCAGGGACCCTGTGGGACGGGGGCCTGGTGGCGTGAGTGTGGGAGTGGGGCTGGGCTGGGCAGTGCCTCTGAATGCTGCCTCTTGGCTTGGGTCTGTCCCTCTCTTGGGTTTTTATGATCCCATCTGCAAAATGGGGTGATTAAGGGGTGGGGCACGGGGCAACAGGAGGGGTGACCAGAGTCACAGAAACACCAGCCCGGTGTTTCCACAGCCCCACTTACAGTTGGGTAAACTGAGGCACAGAACGGCAAAAGCATATGCCCCGTATCGCTCGGCCGACAGAGGCCCAAGCCAGGACCTGCGCCTGTGCGTGAGGGTCCCAGCGGCTGACCGGACCCCGGTGCTCAGTCACCGCGAGCACGGGCGTGGAGCCCAGCCAGCGGCTCCCACGAGCCCGGCCCCGTGTCACCTGCGCTTTACATGCGTCCGCGTATTTAATCCTCCCGACGACTTTGCGAGATGTGGGCTGACATCACCCCCAGGAGCAGGCGGAGAAACAGGCCCAGGGAAGTTACTAACGTGCCGGGTTCACACAGCTGGGGAGCAGCAGAGCTGGGGATTTGAACCCAGACCTGTCTGGCTCCC